CCCCCCCCCCCCCATACAACAACAGCACATCTCAGTGTCTTTCTCCGAAAATGACATTTTCGCTTCATTTTAATATCTTATTAAATCCAATGAGCTTTTTTTTGCCTCTGGTAAATTGGAGTTGAGCGTTTATAAATAGAACCTAGTCTGCTGACTATAAGTGATAAAGTGTCACGTGGTAGAAGCCCATATATGGGTAGAAGTGTAGGGTGTGGGCAGATGATGTCATTGTGCGTCAGGAATAACTAATGAGGCTTTATTATTTCTTATTTGATTGTTTACATTTATGAGTTAAATTTGCATTTATTGTTATGTAAGAGATTAACTACTTTTCATCTGTTTTTGCAGGTCCCTTGTGGCAACTCTGACCTTTGCTGTACCTGACAGCACGAAATTATTTGAGTTCTCAGTAGAAGACTCTCTTATTCCACTTGAAATAGACAGCCATGTCTTTGATGAGCTCACGGTTTGGCCAGGACGATATGGAGGTCCTTCTTTGGGACCCATCATCACCGATGGCTGACCCTCTGGGGTCCTTCCTAGATAAAGATGAGGAGGTTCTTCCTCTCGGAGGCACTGAATCGCCCCTCTCATCTTTCTCTCCCTCTCCACTTCCCTCTCTCTCCCCACCCTGCACTCCTCCCTCCCTTCAGAGGGGGGAGAAGGCTGGGCTCAATCAGCTGTCCCAGTCCTGGTTCTCCTCAGATGAGCTGTGCCAAGATAACGGTGGCGGAGACGGCAGTAATGGTAAGGTGTAGCAGTTTATTCAGAATATACCTGCAGTGCTGTTGTTTCAGCATATTGATAGTTTGAGCAGTCAGTCATTTAACATGTTGTTTTTTTTTGTTTGTTTTTTTTCAGATCTTTCATTCAGTGAAATGGATTGGATGACAGAGCGAATTGATCTGAGTGAGTTCGATCTGGAGTCTTTGATTGACTCCTATGATTCTGAGGATCCGCCCAGTTCTCCTGAGGAACTCATTGCTTCTCTGGAGTCACAAATAGACCTGGAGTCCCAGCCTGTAGCTTCTAACAATACCCCTTCACCCTCTCCCCCAGTGTCTGTCCCTGAAATTGATCAACTTTCCAACCTTGCATTAACTTTGAATACTCTAGTTTCTACTGCGTTCATTCCCTCAATACCCTGTGAAGTGTCAGATTCCTCCTCTGTAGTCCCTGAGCCCCAGGCCGAGCTCGAGATAAAGTCTGAACCGGCCTCCCCAGTCCCATCACTTTCCATCCTTCCACCCGAGTCCCCTACTGACACCCTTGAGCTTGGTTGCGAGGTGGACATAGCTGAAGTGCAGAGTCCAACCCCCGTTGAGATGCGGGTGCCCAAAATTGTCCTGTCCCTCTCCCCAACCCGCATAGTTCTTGTACTTGCTCCCAAAGAGGAGGCTAATGTGATGGCGACCCATCCAGTTGAGGTGGTTGTGGATAATCCCCCAAGTCCAACCTCCCCCGACCCGCAAACCCCAGCCTCTCCCCTGTCTCGATCTTGCAGGGTGAAGCCATACCCTACACCTGATTCTAAGCCCACCCAAAATCAGCAATCGGAGTCGCCTTCCCTCACAGGAAGAGTGAAGTCAGCCAGTGGCTCAAAGGTTGTGGTCGAGAAGAAGAAGCTAAAGAAAATGGAGCAGAACAAGACTGCGGCGACCCGCTACCGACAGAAGAAGCGTGCAGAGCAAGAAGCCCTCCAGTCAGAGTGTGCAGCTCTGGAGGAGAGGAATGAAGAGCTGGCGGAAAAAGCAGAATCGCTCACTAAAGAGATTCGGTATCTGAAAGAGCTAATGGATGAAGTCAAGAGGGCAAGAGAGAGCAGGAATATGAAGTCGTAGAAAGAAATGGACACAGAGGCTTGAAGCTGAGAGAAATGGACGGTTTCAGCATAGCCTGAAGTGCAGAATACTAGTGATGTTGGTCCTAAAAGAGTGTTTCTTGAAGGGTTGAATAAATAACTGTTTTGATTCTTCCCCAGTGACTTGTTAGAAACGGCTTCCTTTTTAGCATGTCAGCTATCAGTAAAGCCTGATAAATTTTTACAAGTGTATTTTTATCTTGTGTATCTCAGTGTATGCACAGCATCATATATTAGCAGTGTATTTTTGATTGTCTTGACATTTCCTAATTGAAATTGTGCTGTATAAATGCTCGATATTTAAACTTTCCTTCTGTCTTTATTCATAGAAATGGTATGGTGTGGACTTATTAGATTATGTATTGACCGTCTATGGGCCTTTCACCACTTACCAACTAACTTGAATGTTATTTGTGTAATAAACATTTTAAAAGATACTTGTGTGTACTTCATGTGTCCTTTCATGATGAAACTGGAGCAGAAATTAGCTTTAGTAATTCATAAATTTGTTTTAGACAACCGTTCACTACTTCTATAGGTAGGTCATAAGATAAGGATCGAGGATTTAGAATAATGCTTAAAATGAATAAAAGTAAATCTATTTAGTCCAAGGCAATTTCCATTATACTAATAATAACAAATCAGTGTTTATGACCAAGGACAACTGTCTATTGCTGGCAGAAAATAGATGTGGGGTTTTGGTTTTAAGAATTTCTTTTCATTTCAATGGTTTTCACAAATTGAGAAATTTTAAACTTAGTTGTATTTGACAAAAGCACCACTCACTATGGCAGTTTCACTGTAAAATTATTCTTTCTTAATATGAAGTGAAAAGCATACAAAAGCTAAACTCTTAAGTCATCTGAATGTCTTAAGTCAAACCAGTTGAATGTCACCTTTGAGGCTGAAATATTTGCCCAAGCACTTGGGAATTCATAGCATATTAACATACTGTGCCAAAAATGTTCAGACAAGATCATTATTATTATGCAATTGCCATGCCCTGAATGCTCAACACACATTGTTAACTATGTGTTTAGGTAGAATACAATGCTGAAATCACAGCCGTAAATATGGTATGTCCTCCTTATTAGTTACCAATCACATCAAATTCACAACAAAAAGAAACCCTGAAAGTTCTTAAGGTGCTCATTTGCACATTAATTTCACTCATGGTATACTCAAGAATCCAGCTCTATTTCAGGTGCACATACTAGACTTTATGATAATACAGTACATTCAATCTACATGTAAGTAACTAAACTTACCAAATTCGTAAAATGCAGTTTTACTAAATATTATTTGACACTAAATTTGCATGAAAAGCTACCAGGTTGTATAAATACTGTAGAACAGTGAATCTCAACCTTTTGGTGTACCAGACCCCAGTCCAATTCAGAACCATGCTCAAGGACCCCAGAACAAAATTGACTCGTATCATTTGTGTCTTTGTGAGGACCAAATGCAGTCAAGTATAATTCAAGTTAGCTGACTTGTCCAGTATTTGGCCATATCATCAGCTATATTGGAATTTTCTTTCATGGGAACATGTCATGTCAAAATATACAACATTTATATAAAAATTCATACTTTATACGGACCCCCTGGCCTTATGTCAAGGACCACTAGGGGTCCACGGACCCCTGGTTGAGAAACACTGCTGTAGAATACTGGGCTTAAGAGTTCTGCCATACCATGTGGAAATGGATGGAATCATTTTGGCCATTTCGTCTGTCTGGTGCCACCATGCGTTTTACATAACTCTAGACAATAATCATCAATGAAACCAGTGCATGCATTTGGCAAGAGTTTCAATATTTGAATGTCCAGTGACGAATTCATAAGGAGCCAGAAATCTAGATTGTACTTCTGTTTGTATGATACGGAATGTCAACATAAGTAGAACCCCTCGATCCCCCTCGGTAGAAATCACAAGCACATAGACCGGACCGAAAGGGCACTTTAGCTTCGGCGA